ATGACCTTCATCATCTCCATGAGGTTCCTCAACCCCTCATGTTCTCCATCATCATGTCCTTGAGGTTCCTCATGATCTTCACCATCTCCATGAGGTTTCTCATCATCTCCTTGAGGTTCCTGATCATTTCCATGAGGTTTCTCATGATCTTCATCATGTCCATGAGGTTCTTCATGACCTTCACCATCTCCTTGAGGTTCTTCACCATCTCCTTGATGTTTCTCACCATGTCCTTGAGGTTCCTCACCATCTCCTTCAGGTTCCTCATCACGTCCTTGAGGTTCCTCATCAGGTCCCTCAGCATCTCCAGGAGGTTCCTCATGACCTTCATCATCATCATCTCCGTAAGATTTTTCATCATTGTCTCCATGAGGTTCCTCATCATCTCCTTGAGGTTCCTCAACCCCTCATGTTCTCCCTCATCACCTCCTTGAGGTTTTTCACCATCTCCTTGAGGTTCCTCATGACCTTCATCATCTCCATGAGGTTCCTCATCACCTCCATGAGGTTCCTCATCATCTCCTTGAGGTTCCTCATGACCTCCATGAGGTCCCTCCCCATCTCCCCCACTCCCCTCACGCCCCTTCCCCATCTCCACCTTCTCCAGATCCTCTACAACCGCACCATGGTCCAACTGGGCATCTGCGCCTTCCGCCAGGGCCTCATCAAAGACGCCCACAACGCCCTCCTGGACATCCAGTCCTCCGGCCGCGCCAAGGAGCTCCTGGGCCAAGGTCTTCTCCTGCGCAGCCTCCAGGAACGCAACCCCGAGCAGGAGAAGGTGGAGAAGCGCCGCCAGGTCCCCTTCCACATGCACGTCAACCTGGAGCTCCTGGAGTGCGTCTACCTGGTGGCGGCCATGTTGTTGGAGATCCCTTACATGGCCGCCCACGAGTTCGACGCCCGGCGCCGCATGATCAGCAAGCAGTTCCACCACCAGCTGCGCGTGGGCGAGAGGCAACCTCTGCTGGGTGGGTGGTGGGATGTCTTCTTCTCCATCTCCGCCATCTTGGCTCTCCTTGCCCCCTAAGTGGACCTCTTGGTTGCCCCCAGGGCCACCGGAGTCCATGCGGGAGCACGTGGTGGCCGCCTCCAAGGCCATGAAGATGGGCGACTGGCGGACGTGCCACCGCTACGTGGTCAACGAGAAGATGAACGGCAAAGTGTGGGACCTCTTCCCCGAGGCCGACAAAGTCCGCGCCATGTTGGTCAGGTGGGTGATGAGGGGGTGGGTGGGGCTTGCTGACCCATAAGTGGCTT